GGGCTGGGGCCCCTAAATGCAACCTGCAGTCGGCCTTTCGGGGCCTTCGGATCCTCATATCGAAACCCAGGCTTCTCTCTTGTATTTATGAGGGGAGAGGCGACAAGGGAATTGCGCCTTTTTCTCGTGCGTAGGAAAGGATGGTAATGGGAACAAGAAAGTGCAGTAGTTGATAAGTGCAGCAAGCGGTTTGCGAGCGTTGAACGACGATAACCCTGAATTACAAGTAATTATGTCCAGTTTGTGAATCCCACACTGCCGTTCACTATGGCACAGTGACCGTACTGAGCTTTTGACAGGCACATTAAATGTGCTTTGGATTGCCAGGACGCCTAAACTGGGACAGGCACCGTAACTTCTGCTTCTGGCCTAAAGGCCATTGGTTTGAATTCGTTGAGCTGCAGAGGAATCCAGCCTGCAGGATGGAGCCTACAATTTTGAAAGGAGCTTTTCGCGTCGGCGAAAGGTTTGACAACAATCCTTAAGGGCTCCAAAACCACACAGGGAACTTCTGCTACATCACAAAGGCTTTACAATCAGTACCATACCCAGGGCCATTTACGAGTCAGAGACCTCCGTGAAATAGGAGTCGCCCGAACCTCGGACAAGAAACTGGTTTTGAAGGCCGCGTTTTGGCAAGTTGAACATAATTTTGTACAGCCCATTTTGAAACGGATGCAGCCATTGTCACTAGATGAGACAGTAAGAAAAGCAAAATAGTGGGTAACAAATGTAAAGCGACTAAAATGGATGGCCGCATGAAGGTAATTTGATACTCTTTCTTCGTCATCTGGAATCACCGCAACCAAAATCGACCCAGCCATGTGCGCCCAATTAGCCTGCAATGGGATCGCTTCCCCGTCTAAAAGCCCTTTATCGTTCAAAATCAGCTCAGTTTCCATTTAGTTTAAGAGCCACTCAATATGATAGGCTGTTACGCCGACGCACTAACTAATCGCATTAACGCGGCAACAGTCAGATCGGTTTCATTTTCGCAGCCAGGGGCACTGAAATAGGCTCATTGGAGCCGAATGATGGCCATCAGGAGGCGAACCCTAGGCGCGGGATTATCACATGAAAGGCTCGGAGGCAGGATATGATCAGTAGTTTCTCGCTCCCCGCCGCGCCACCGACGCTGGCCCCGCCCCCAGGGCCCGGGGGAGCCGAGTCCCGCCGCGGAGAGGGCGTCGCGGGAGCGTCGCGGCAGAGAGCGGCGCCCGTCTGGCGCGGAGGGTCGTGACATCGTGAGCCCGCGTGCAGCGGCGCCGTTTATATCTGATTTAAGCGTGCACATGGGTTTTCGTAAGGGCGCAGCCCGCCTCGAGGGGACCCGACAGGCGCCATCTTGACCCCCTCAGGAGAACAGAAGCTATAAAGCCTTATAAAAGCCTTATAAAGCCTGCCTTAGCAGATCCTACTTGATTTTACTTGGGCATTCCTGACGCATTCTGGTATGATACATGGGATGACGAGGAAAGCAAAATTAGGCATACTTTGAACAGACTTCTTTGACGATTCTCACAATGGTCAGAGGGCCCATGTTCTGAGGAACGATCGCAGCCACAGGTTCGTATGCCTCCATTAGCACTTCAAGTCTTGCGTGGTGGCGAAAATCGTAGCAAAGGTACGCACGCCCTCAGCGTTTCGTGAGCTGCAATGTCATGGTGCATCTGATCTGATGCGTGCAAAATCATGATCAGGTACAATCCAAGCTTACAGTGATGTCCTCTGCGACTATGCTACCAATTCAGCACTCGTCTCATGTTAGATTTAACTTGAAATGGGTTGCCCCAGACCTCGGCGGGCGAAATATCCATTGACGGGGCAAGTGGAAAGCACTTTGCAACATGTTCCCTAGAATTGTGTGCGCTATGTACTTTGAGATTCTTAGCTCTCTGTGCGAGAGAAATTCTGCAGAACCGTGGCCTAAGCGTGGGTTATACCCATCTATCTGTCATATATATATATATATATATATATATATATATATATATATATATATATATATATATATACATATATACATATATATATATATGTATACATATATATACATATATATACACATATATATATACATATATACATATACATATATATACACATATATATATATATACATATATATATATATATATATATATATATATATATATATATATGTATATATATATATATATATATATATACATATTTCCTCCCAATAGTTCAGTTGGTTAAAGTACCTGCTTTAACCAGCTGAAACGCTCCGATCCACCCACACGTGGCGAAGCGGGTTCAAGTCGCTTCAGGCACTCGCTGTTTGTCTGTAACAGGTTGGCCTGCGGCCAGTAGCAGCGGCCGCAGGCCAACCGGTAACCAGTTTCCGGCAATTTCTCTAAGTCAAGATATCTCCTTCTTTTTCCAAAAGCTGCATGATTGGTCAGATCTGAGCCGCTGAAATAAGGAAGTATCACTTCCGGGTATGCACGGCCTTTTGTTGACGTATTGACTTAGAGTGCAAACGTGCTTACGTGTGTGCATGCATGTTTAGGTATGTGTATGGGCAAGGGGGAGAGCGTCCGTGCTTGTAGATGTATGCATGAATTGTAGATTTGGACTTCAGTAGGAATGCCTAGCTGTTGTTAACAGCAGCTGGAATGCGAACATTTCAGCTTGCACCTAATGGCGCAGTACGCTGGCTTTGCTCTTGCAGTTTTCACACAGTCAAAATGTGAACGCTCCAGCTAATACTGGTAGCCGTGCCTGTTTCGTTCCGGCATTTTTAACATCGTCAAACTGTCTGATGAGCTTATCATGATAATCAATTTTGCACCGAACAAAATGAAACCATTCTGCGATTCGAGCCAGCGCCGCGGCCGCCCGCTCCCCGCCCGTCGCCAGTGGCGCCCCCCCCCCCCCCCCCTCCCGACCCGCACAATGGCGGTCGCTGGCTGAATTAATCATCTCTGTAACAGGAGCCTATGCCGCTCTCCGCGCCGTATTCGCGCGCCCAAGTCACGTGGAAGTGATGTCCGTTTACAAATGACGGCAGCGGCGGCCGATCGCTTTCAGCGCGTCGCTGCCGGCCGTGGCGCTGTCTGCCACGAGTTGAGGGGCGCGGGAGAGCGTGGGTTGCCGGCGGGGGCAAGAGGGGGCCCAGAGGGGCCCGGAGGGGGCCTGGAGGGGCGATGCGGGATGGAGAGGGGTGAGAGGAGGCTCCGGAACCGAGTGAGGGCCGATGCTGACGTAGCGGAAGCTGGCGCTATGGAGAGAAAGATCTGCGATCTGAGGGGAAATCTCTGTCTCATCTAAGGCTTTGTGTTGTTGCGAACGGTGCCGGAAATCCATCAAGTGTTAGTAAGATGAGCGCCAGATTCTCAATATGAGTGGCCAACCACAATCCAGTGCATCAGCTCCTAGGATCAACAACAACCCGACCGATGCTAGGGACTTCTCTTTGAGACACAACTTTTCAAATTAAAAAAGTTGTGGTCTAAGAGACTAAGCATGCAGCATTCATGGTTAGGGTTTTGTTTAGCGCGCATTTAGCTTAACAATGTAAGTATTTCGTCATTAAAATCAGCCTTTTAAGGACAGGGAATGATAATGACGAATAAATTTGCACCGTCCAACTTAATGATGTCACCGCCATTTTGGTCCTGTGTTACTGCGATGTGAACTTTAAGCATTCTGTGGCTTACCTCCATTGGCTACCGTTTACTTCAAAGCACCACTGCAATCAATGCGTGCGTACGTACGTTGTGGACTGCCTACTCGTTTCAGATCAACCCCTTGGACGTCAGGAGATCTAGGTCAGACCCAAGGGGATGCTTTCCGCAGCCGATCACTATTACCTCATTAATATCGTTCTTGTGAAATGGCGTCGTGATTATCTGAACAGAAATAGTTTATGCAGGGGCGCAGCCCAGGGACGGGTCCAGGGAGCCGGGCGCCCTCCTTAAAGGGAGTGTTTCACATTTATGTGGGGTTTGAACAGAAATAGTAATTTTGAAGATTATCAGTACAGTACACAGGTGCAGTACACAGCCCTGTCCTTCTTTAGACTAAATCACCTCTAGTTTCTGAGCTGCACGCACGCGAAGATGGGAAGACTTTTTCGAGGAGAGTATCTCAAGATCACCTTGGAATTCATGACGTCACACTAACGTCGTTTAAATCCTGTCACTCCGTACCCCATGCGGCGATCAAGGCCAATAAAATATAATGGTCGAGCCACTCAGATCTGGCGTTCGTGGACACGATCTTCAGATCTAATGGCCGTCAATTTGCTCTCAATCAGTGTTGTGTAAGTTACGATGACGTAATTAACCAGTGAGGTATCGAGGAGCATATTTGATAAACACAGAAGTTGTGTTGTCTATAGCAGTCTTTTCTACTCAAAAGTATATCGAAAGCTATACGTGAGATTGTTTCATCATATCAGCTTAGTATCAGGCTGAATTCTGGCTCTTGCTGGTCTTCTCTGTATGATTCAGTTCTGCATTCTGGTCCCAAAATGTAAATTGTACAGGTTACTGTATTCCTAGCTTCGTTACCAGGAACCTGCTTGCTCCCCGGAAGAATCCTGAGGAGCCAGGCGCATGTCCGCTTATGTCTATTGGAATAAGATAATCCACGGATAAGCTTGTGTTCCACAACTATAACCACAAGCTTGCATTCAGCAATCGTGTGAATGTTTATTTCACTGTTGATGAGTATTACGTATATCCATATCTCTACCAAAGCCGGGGGTAATATAACAAGCAAGCTGCTAGTTATCGTGGCCTGCGATGTCGCGACACGCGCCGTCCGTTTTTTGTAGATAACAAATACCATCAAACTCGTCTGAACCTGTTGCTGCCTGATGTATTCAGCCACTTACAAATCAGATATAAACTCATATGAGACCCATGCAACACAATGTAAAAAACAGTTTCGGCAATACAGCCTGAGCCATATCAGTATCTGAGCAATATCAACAGTAATGTTCATATCAGTGCGTCACCAATACCCACTTCACAAGACGAACCGAGCCCAGCGTCGCACGCGACCACCCCTCAAAAGCAAGACACCATCACACGGTACCGCACAGCACGAGCCCCTCCAACGGGCGAGCATTTATCACAGCTCTCGAGGCACGGGCGCCACCACCAGCTAGAAGAACGGTGCGGCAAACATGCCACCCCTCAAATAGGCAGTCAGCTCCAGCGGAGTCAGCCCGGCTAGCCCCGGCGCCACGGTGGCGTACAAGGGCGTGGTGTGGGTGCGCTGGTGTTTGTTGAGGTGGTCCTTGCGGCCGAACCGTTTGCCGCAGATCTCGCAGCCGAACGGCCGGTCGCCGGTGTGGATACGTGTGTGGCGGGTCAGCTCCTCGTTGCGGGTGAAGCGCTTGTGGCACGTCTCACACTCGAATGGCCGCTCCCCTGCCGACACACGGAGGAGGGTACGGTGTGAGGCGGCTCTGAGCGCTGTGCTCTACCAGCTCTAGTCTAAAGGGAATATTGCTGTTTCCTGCTCATGAGCGTTGGCGCTGAAAATGTTCTTTGTCACGATCATAAATTTCACGCACAGCGACGCCGTCAAGCTTTGTGTGGGAAACATGTCCTCACTCATGCTGCCTCATTTGCGTCAACACATTTGCCACATCGAAGACACCCCAGAATCCAAAGTTGCAATCATTGCCTTAAGTCTTTTTGGACTCACCACACTGACCTCTGACAAGTTCGTTGGTGGACACACCGCCCCGCTCCGTCGACTCACCTGTGTGCTTGCGGAAGTGGCCGACCAGCTGGCCGCGGTTCGAGAACGCCATCGGGCACTTGGGGCAGGCGAACTTCCGGTCGCGCTTGCGGCGAACCTCGGTGTGACGGCGGCCCTCCTCCACGACGGCGGCCCAGGGCACCCAGGCGGTGGGCAGCGGCGGCCACAGCAGCGGCCGGCCTCTGTACTCAGACCATGCGGCGGCCGGCAGCGGCAGCGGCGGCGGTGGCGGCGGCGGTGGCGACGGCGGCGGCGATGCGGCGGCCGCCTGCTCCGGACCGCGCGGCTTGGTTGGCGACACGTCCAGTCCGTGCCAGGGACGGAACAGCGGGCTGGGCGGCATCATGGTGCGCGTGGCAGCACGCAGCTTCACAGGGGGCCGATTGGGGCCCGTCTGGGCCGGACGCGGGGCCATCGCGCCGCCTGCACTCGGCAACCGCCCGCCACTCAGCGGCCAGCAGCTCCCGGCCGTTGCCAATCGGCGCGCGGCGCCTCTCCCCGCGCGGCCAATCAGCGCGACGGACGGGAGGTGCTCGGTGGAGATGGCCCCCGAGGGCCGCGACAGGTGGCTCTTGTGCGCTGACGAGGCAGAGAGGGAGGCTGGCAGCAGCTGCTTGTTCTCCCCCACCCATACACTCGTGTGCGCGTGAAGAGGGGAGAGTGGTGCGGGCGTCAGAACGGGGAGTCTGCGGTGTGGCCTTGATGTGCGACCACAAGCCAACATGGAGATCAAACACTGCTCACACACGCACACTGTCTAGCGTTCCATCATGCCCCGGAGGTCAACAGGCGGGAATGTCCATAACGACACCTATTCGGCCTATGGTGTACTGGATCCATTAAGTATCACACTCAACTATGAACATTTGAATCCGAACTCAGTCGTATTCTTGATCGCATTTGGGGCATTCGTTGCCAAGCTAGTACTGGAAGACATTTCGCTGATTTAAAACCCTGTTGTATGATGACTGGCATGCTAAGTGACGACGCTATATTTTCTGGTTACCTGGTCAGTCAGCCAAATCCATAACATGAATACCGGCCTCGAATTGAGTATGCTGCTTCAACTAACCGATTTACAGGCGTATGCCAGAACAGATTGTTGAATGCTTACAAATATTTGCTAACCCCATCCCAGTGATGGAAGTTCCAAAAAGGAATCCCGGAAGCGGAGTACATAAGTCCCAAAGTAGAGTACAAACTTTAAACTGGGGTCATGGAAATTTCATGGCACGTATTTCCGATGATTTTCTTCACAATGCAATCAACCACTTATCTCTGTCTCGATATGTTTATGGGTGAGAGTGTTTGAAAACAGTTTTTTGGAAAAATGTTTTTTTTTTTTAAACAGTACACTTTCCAGCTAAGTTAAGACCTCCGGCGTTTTACACGATGCGCAACTTCCTTAGTTAAATCCGAAGATATTGTTTTTTTTCTGAGTAAGGGCTACGGGAGAAGATATTTGGGGATTGAAGTCGGCAAGGCAATACGACCTGGTATCTCTGTTCACTCGTCATGAACTCTTGTTCTAACAGCAATTCGGGACGTTAATTTATGTTAGCACCAAAAATATTATTCAACTGATTCACTGACTGTAAAAATGGCATGGTGTTCGGAGTCGAGACGCATCTTCCTTTTTTAATTTTGGAATCGGTCAATATCTGGCCGAGCTTGGGCCAAAAAACCCAAATCACCGTGACGCTAAGGGAAGCGGGTTTTCAGCTTTTCGGAACTCAATACTTGTCTGAGCCGAAAATACCTTTTTGATGTAGACAGAGCTCTGGTTCAGAAACAAGTTGATAAAGAAGATGGAAAATCGGTTGGTAGCTTTGGTCACAAGTAGGGTTTTAAGATTCCGCGTATAATCCACTGCTGCAAATATATTCTGGTTTAAGTGCTACTTGATAGTAAACAAAGCGCATTTAACATGGTCAAAAAACCTCCCGCTCAGAACACACACACTAAATCGACCACGGGCTCCATCCTAGACCAAAAAAAGTGGAACACTATGAGCTTTCAGCATCAACTCATGTACTGGCTGTCTATAGGCTGTCACCTGCCATGATTTGATGCCTAGATACAACCATTGGCATGCAGTCAATCGTAGTGTTTCCTTCTTCTCACTACGAAGATGACAATGTAGATAAATTCTTGTAAGTGCTGCATCAGTGGTCAATGGTCAGGGGTGCCAAATGAAAGGTTAGGTTAAATCCCTCCCCCCCCCCCCCCAGAATAAATAGGAAACTGCACTCCGGCCAAATGCCAATCATTGCTAAGAATGTCTTCGATAGTTCCTAGCGTCAGGTATGATCCAGCAAACCCAAATCCAGTCCTTATGTTTCTAGTACTGATGCAACTACAAAAACTGGTCATAGAGCATGCCATTCGGTACACACCATAAACACATCCTAGCACTTGATCATTACCAGTCGCATAGCCAAGTTATTTCACATTGGGGAGCGCTAATCAGCACCTTACTTTATCAGACCCTTCTTTAACTTGTCAAATGTTGCACTTGGTTCTGTTCGTTTGCTTCCGGTAGCATAAGGTGAACACTGGGGCCTTTCGGTTCAGTACTTTGGTAATGAGCTAGCCATGTTCCTAGGGGTCCTAGGGGGACTTGCCCTCTAGGGGTCTCACTTGCCTTCCAGGTATAGTGTTAGGTTTGATATCCAGTGATCCTATATTGCCTATTCAGTTGATCATCACAGTATTAAGTGGCATTCAATCAACACACAATTGGCATTTTTAAAGCTCTCATGCAATCACATTACGTCATGTCAAAGAAATCCTTTGAAACTTAAATGTTACCAACTCATGTTGTTGTCCTTCACGCGGGCAACATCTCATGCTGTTTGAAAATGACTAGGTGCAGCTGCCAGTCCTGCATGGTGCATGGATCAATTACGCTGTCCCTAAATCCTGCTAAGTTCTGTGCAGCTGGTGCGCGCTGCTTGTCAACTGGAACTGTCACCTTCCTTCCATTTTAATACTTTGAAAGATGGCAAGCCGCTACGCACACTAAATCTTAGGCCAGTATCAGCCAACCATGAGATATCGAAGAACTCCCACAAAAGTTAGTTTAACACTTTAGTTTTTGTCTTGAAGTATGCAATAGCCAATTTTTGGTACATCAAACTAATTTCATGGGGTCCCCCAATACCAGGGTGGTCTACATTACAAGCGATCTACGAATTTCTAATATATTTGAGTCCCATTTTCATTATTTCTGGGCTTCTAGAGACCAGTGGCATGAAAAGAAGGGGGGGGGGGGGTGAAAAAATTACAACTGGGGAATTATTTTTCAATTCTCTGAAAATCTTACGTTGCTCCTGTGACCATTGCACGGACTCCTCAAATCTTCAAAACTTGATTGGAAAATTATTGCTACCCCTGCTCGCAATGTAAGCTTGTAGCACACTTATTTCTAGCTAGAATGACTTGCAGAAGCCCGGCTGTTGTTTTTCACCTTCATTTGAGAGCCTGCACGTGTGTAATAATAATACAATGATTTTGGGGCCATGACCGCACAGGCCCAAAATCGCGGACAAATTGGCACGCGTTCGGGTTTGAGGTCAATTTGACGCCCACGAAGATTTCTCCGGAATAATTTCCGAACGGCGCGATGTAGCCGCGCTTAATTTTGCATCGCTAGCCATTTGAATAGTAGATCGTTCGGTATGAAGCAATTTATGTATATTGTAAGGCCGTCAAGCTACGTCAGGTTAACGTCAGGCCATGGGTTTAAAGACAGACAATCTCTAGGGAATGTTTCCACCTGATGCAACGGAGTGTTAGACGAGGCTACACATCTCTGAGATAGTTTCTTAGGCAATACGATAATTGAATTGATAAATTTCATTGACCTGGGGTCAAGTATGAAGGCAAGCCTACGGTCAAAGCCAGCCTATTTTCTGCTATAGAGCTTGCTGTGTGGGGTAGTTTCTGGTGCTAATCTTGAATTTATTGGTGACAGGAACTGCGTTATGCATTTTCCCATGGACTTCTGTAAGATCAGAGTAGGTCATTGGCCTAAAACCACCCAGGTCAACATTTGTTTTAGAAACGCACTCTCTAATGTCATATCTGACGTTTATTCAGGTGCAAAAATCAAATCAATCTTGTATGACTTTGTTCATTTTGAAATCCGAAAGGTCAAGCAAGGTCGCTAACCTTAAATGGTCACCACTGACCTTTTCCTTAGAGCATGAATCTAGGCTCATGGTGGCTGCATGAAAAGGTCTGTGGCACAATGGACACTAATTGGAGTTTGACCTTGTTGGACCTTATTTGACCCGATGGGCATAACCTTAAGACCTCAAATTGTGATACAAGTGAGTTTATGTACCGAACAACGCACGCTGAGTTTCAGAGTTATCAGGGGGTCAAATTGACGCCCAACGTGAACGAAGGGTATTTAACCGGCCACCCGGGCGCGTGGTAAGGTTAGGTATGGTTGTGACGGCGCACGGAAGGAACATCCCAAAAATGACATATGCACTCAAATTTGGTTGGAAAGTTTCTGATCTGAGCTCATGCATATGCTCAAAACATTACCTCCTTAGTGGTTGCAGACTCGGATATTTCTCTTTCACCGAGTTGACCGTTCGTTTACACGTGTCATCGGTTCGAACTACGCGGTGCAGTGGTCGACGGTTGAGGTAGCGCAGACCGCTCGCCGTCCGAGCCCTCCAGCTACGAGCGATCGACAGTCAAGTTTTTCCGGCCGGACCACCAACGACTCAAGGTCTGTAAACAAGCATGAACTGATGGGGGTAATTGTAATTGAAGCCTGAATAAGCGCTCGAATAGCTTACAAATGTGCATTACCACTCATACCTTTGGCCAAGCCGGTAAACCGTCAAATGCCACCTGGCGTCATTTGAGAATCACTTACCACTTTGATAAACATAGGGCAGTGACACTGACCACCCTTCCGCACTGACGCTGGCCACCCTTCCGCAGTGACGCTAGCCACCCTTCTGAAGCGACGCTGGCCACCCTTCCGCTCCGTCTTTATCCACGAGTTGGGGACATGTTAGCTCTCATGCTAACAAGGCCACGCTGCTCTTTTTGAAAAGTGAGTCTTTAAACGGATGGGGATGGCACAAATTGATATTTAAGCCGACCGGTTGCATAACATACACAAGTGCACTGTCACATGGTCATGCGGCCAAGCCCGTGAGACGCCTAGTCACATGGGTACAGGCAGTAGCGCAGGCCGGGAACGGGGCACAGGAGGCACGTCCCCCCCCCCTTAGGTTCGGGGGTCCTTCGGGCCCCTCGGAACCTACGATTAAGGGCCCAATTTGAAGGCCCGAAGGGCCCAAAACACCGGCCGGAGGTCGCATTCAGAGACCCCGGGCCGCAGGGCTGGACACTCCACCGCCAGCCAGAGGGCTCTGCATGCTGATCAGGGATCCCCTAAGTCGATGACGGTCTATATGTTGGTCAGACACCACCAGCAACGCACAGCCGACTCCAGGGCGGCATGGGCCTGAAGGCCTATTCTCCAGGCAGGAACAAAGCCGGAGCAAGCAATTTACATTGGTCGTGGTCGCAGCGCCTGTCGGTGAAGTGAAGCCCTGTGAAGCCCTGGGTCAGCTCTGTGTCGGTACGGGGCGGAGAGCCCACTTCCCAGTCAACTATAAAGCCGGGGCCAGTGATTTACACTGATCGGGACTCCTGTATCTGGCAGGGGCCCGCAACACCTAACAGTGAGTCTTGTGCTGGCAAGGGGCCCGAGCCGACCAAAAGAAGTGAGTGTTCGATGAGGCCCGGGTGGCTCAGTAGAACTGACGATCAAAGGCCTGTTTGGAGGGCATAATAGCCCGAAGGACCGGCTGTTTTTCAAACAGAAAATCGTGGCCCGTGGGATCGTGACTTAAAAATGCGACTCAGGGTTCATATTGCACTGTTCGAGGTATCCCTAAGACAATGCGGGTGTCTAAGTCGGCCAGAGACCGCGAACGCCGAACAGTCGGCTCCATGTCCGTCCAAGCACGTAAGAGCTATTTCCGAAACAAGAATGGAATCGGGGCCTGCAATTCGCAATGTTCAGGGTCACTGGCACAATGAGGGGCTCCTGTGTCGGTGATGATCCACAGGGCCTAACAGAGGTCATGTGGCGGCAAGCGACCCGAGCCAGAGCGGTGTTTCAGGGCTCCAAAGTGGGGGTCGAAGGGTTTGTTTCGGCCAGAAATCACCCATAACGAACAGTTGGCTCCTCGTTGGTCTGATCTCTGGCGGCCCCTTTCCCAAGCAGGGACAAAGCTGGGCCGCGATTTACATTGGTCAGGACTTCTATATCCTTCAATGGCCCACAGTGCCTAACAGGGTATTCTGTGCCAACAAGGGGCCTCGAATCGGTGAGGGGAAGATTTGTTCAACAGGGACGGGACGGGATGCCGAATAACAGAGGGCCTCTTGCGTTGGTCGGGGTCCTCTGACGATGAAAGGAAACGTGAGAACTTATGACGAGTGTTCACATTGAGGCAATTGAAAGGTTCTGTGCCAGTCAGGGCTTCCAGTACCGAACAGTGGGCCCTCGAACACAATTCCAGTTTGGGTCCCTTAGGCCGAACTGGAGTCAATGTGCCCGTTATTTGACCACCTAAGGCGACCAGAGATGTTGTTGCGCCAATGAGAATCCCTTTTTCGATCCGGGATCAGCTGCGCGGGTCCGAAGGCCTTCTGCGCCAGCGGCCGGACCAATGCGATATAAGGTATCCCTCCGATGGTCCCCGGATCGGCCAGTGGATCCTGGTCCGTGTCGCCGGAATGACGGCCGGAAGACACGCGGCGGGGGAACATAATCGGCCTTCAGCCCTTGACCGGGAACGATAATGTGCCAGTAGTGTTCCACTCAAAGGGGCCCTTTCCCGGAAAGAAACAAAGGATCTCATAAGTGTTGAATAGTGTATCGAAATGAATTTTAAAAAACGCACAAGGTCATCCCATATTTGCCAGAGAGCCCCTGAAAACGTCAATGGGGCCCTTTCCCGGAAAGAAGCAATGGGTCTCATTAGTGTTGAATAGTGTGCTGAAATGAATTCAGAAACGCGCAAGGTGATCCTATGTTTGTCTGAGAGCGTCCGTTCTTCGGCAAAATTGACTAGCAAAACAAATTACGTCATAATTTTGAGCCTGCGCGCCCGCAATCTCGCGAGCAAGGATAGCGATGGCCTGCGCTGCAGTTTCTGTAAAACCGAACGGCATTGTACGCCGTGAGTAACGCCAGGCGACGAACGCCGTGCGCACAAGAAAGGCCATCGTAAAAAATGTCTTCAATATCTTTCAAAACTCATTCGTACAGTTCAAAGATTAGACCGAGCAAATCTTTTTTGAATTCATGGAGATGTCCTCTGGACTGATAATAGTTACCGCAACACGAAGAATAGAGATCCTGCCATTACTCGACCTGGCCAGCTGTACATTGCCCAACTCAATGTACAATCGGTGAAACCCAAGCTGCTGGAACTGCGACACGACATCGTGCAGCACGGCTATGACGTGATCATACTTAGTGAAACATGGCTCAAGCCGTCTACGCATAACAGACTAATACCTGTACCCGGCTACCAGCATTTCCGGAGAGACAGACCTGATAACAAAGGATTTGATGGCGTGGCCGTACTAGTGAGAGAGTCACTGGAGGCGACTGTGTTGGACGGACCTGATCAGGTCACAGCAGGCCCCAAACTGGGTTCGCTGTGGGTCCAGATCCGCGCTGACCCTCGAAAAGTGATGGTGTGCTCACTGTATCGGCTCCCGACACAGACGCAGGTCCGAGTCACTGCGGACCTCGGTGAGCTGGAGCAGCAACTCCAGAACATCCTCGCCCGTCACAGTGGACCCGTCATCATATCCGGTGACATCAATATCCACGCCTGCAGCAGCAACGAGAACGCTGCGGTCAGCAGGTTCAGAGAGTTCCTCACAGCATACTCTGCAGCAGCATATCAGCGGGCCCACGTTCCGGCCATCTGGCTCCACCATCGATTGTATTTGTACAAACGGTGGTGTTGGGCGCGCCGGCACGCTGCACTGTGACTGTAGTCCCCATGACTGGTCACGTGCTCTAGTGCCGCTACCGGACTACCGACCTGCGGAGTGCGCACTGACGGCCAGATGCTGGCGCAAACTGGACTTGACGGAGGCGAATCGACGTCTCCAAAATGTGGACTGGGGCCCAGTGTACGGCAGTGTCGATCCCGGAGAGCAGTGGGACTACTTCCTTGCAGTGACTCGTCCTATCGTTGATGCTTTAGCACCGATGAGACGTTTAAAAGTGCGCAATCCTACAGCACCACCTATTACGAAAGCTACTAAAGACCTGATGGCCCGGCGGCGTGCCACACTCCGTGATTATGACCGTGAGACGCATAAGGACCTAAACCGGCAGGTCAGATCGGCAGTGCGTCGTGACACACGGGAGGAGATTGACAGGGGTGTACGGGAGGGTGGGCCGAGCTCGATGTGATGCAGTGGGCAGCCTGTCGTCCTGTCTAAGCAGCCAGTCAAGTCCACGCCTGATGCGGACGCGGACGACATTAACCGGTACTACGCCAGCATTGGTACCGCGACCGCCCGCCAGGTGGACTCCTAGGGACCGGAGCTGGCGGCACGCCTGCCGCGCGTGACCACCGGCGGGTTCCAGGTATCGCTCGTTACACCGGATCAACTGCGACGCGTCATAGCCCGCCTGCGTAACAGTTCATCGTGCGGTGCAGACGGATTGTGTATCCGGTTTTTCAAACTGTGTATAGACGCTATTTGTCCCGCGATCGCCCATATTGTCAATTCCAGCATGACAGCCCATGTAGTTCCCGACTCGTGGAAGCTGACAATAGTTTATCCTACCCAAAAGACGCCAAAATCCACTGGTGTGTCTAACTACAGGCCCATCTCAATGTTACCGACTATCGCTAAGGTTAACGAACTTGTAGTTTACGAGCAGCTGTTTGCATATTTGATCTCTCATCACCTGTTCTCGTCTAGTCAACGTGGTTTTAGATCACATCACTCCACTGACACGGGGCTTCTCACGGTAACCGACAAGGTTTTTGGGGCCATGGTTCAAAAGGAAATCACCTTGTTATGCCTACTGGACCAATCCATGTGCTTTGATGTTATCCCACATGATGGACTCCTTAGAAAGCCCCAGCAGTACAATGTTGATGTACGTTGGTTTGCGAGTTACCTCCAAAACCACTTTCAGCAGGTTCCCGTCCAGAACCCAGGTGGCGCTTCCTCTCTGTCCGCAGCATTGCACAACCCGATCGGAGCCTGCCAGGGCTCAGCGCTCGGCCCGCTGCTGTACAGCATCCATGCTAATGATATGCCGCTACATGCTCGTGACGCATGTATTGTGCAGTACGCGGACGACGCGCAGGTTTTAGTGAGTGGGAGGCCCGGTGACATTGGTACGCTGATCACATCCATGGAGCAACATCTTGCGCACCTGTCCAAATGGTTTGGCAAAAACGGAATGAAAACTAACGCACAAAAAATACAGCTTATACTCCTCGGCACGCGTCAAAATCTTCGGAACCTGCCATCGGCTAGCACCAAATTTATGGGCGCCACTGTAGCCAGCTCTCCTTCCGTTCGAAACCTGGATGCTGTATTTGACCAGTGCATGACGTTCACTGCGCACACTGATGACGTGCGGCGATGCACTGGCGCTCTTATCGGCCTCAGCCACAGCCGGTACAGTCTGCCTCAGGCCACACTATTTACTCTAGTCCAGGGTCTAGTCATCTCACTCATCCGTTACTGCATCTGTGTGTACGGAACATGTAATGCTACTCAAACATCACGACTGCAGAAGCTGCCGGACTTCGCAGCACGAGTCATCTCTGGGCGTCGGAAAAATGATCATATGAGCGATGTTTTACGAGATCTCGAGTGGATGTCTGCTGACAACATGTTCTTGTATCATACACTGACGCTTCTGAAACGTGTCCTGGAAATATCATAAAGGGCCCCCGACAAGAGCGTAGAGCTCTGCGTTCTAATAAGAAGTACCCAAAGCCCAGTGTGAAGGGCCCCGAAAGATCGAGTGTACCTAAGAAGGCTATCGGATGGCCCCCGACAGGAGCATAGGGTTCTGTATTCAAATACCAAAACCCAATGTGCAGGGCTCCCGAAGAATTCAGCGAGCCCGAGCAGGTTAATTTTGAGGGCCCTGAACGACCAAGTGTGCTCGAGCAGGTTAACAGATGGACCTCCGACAAGCGCGTGGGGTCGTAAACAAGTGCCAAGGAAGTGGAAGGGCCCAGATAAATCTACAATAAAGAATCTATGGGCATGTCGTGAGTACGTCGGCAGTTTAACCGGGACCAGCGTGAAGGGCTCCTGAACATCCGAGAATGTCGCGGCGGGTTCACATAGCTGGCCCCAGCTGTAGCGTCTTTAACCTTTCGGGCGAATGGTAGGAATCAGCGGAAGACCCCTGATTGAGAACAGTGTCACAGCATTCTATCAGAAGGGTTCGAAGCAGCAGCGCAGAGCCCACCAAGAAAATACAAAGAATTCAGTGGCAACGTAGGAGGCTCCTTAACGATCTGACTGACCGCAAGTGGACGTATAGTGCCCGTCGGAAACACTATAGGGTCTCTTGACAGCGTAATAAGCCTTTAAATATTTCAATAACCACTTTTTCAATCAGTGAAAACGATTTTGCCTGCTTGTGGATGCTTCACTTCAGCTTGCGATGGTTCTTGGTCGTCTTGAAGCCCAAAGACGTCCAACGTTGTCGCGTTTTGTGTACAAAAACGGCGTCTGTTTGGCCGAATATGGGTCCCTTCGGGGCGCAAGGGAGTGTGGTCATGGGCTCTTGCCTTTCCCTCCCCCCCCCCTCCGGATCCGACCCTGCTTACCACATATCCTGATGTATTTCTGGCGTTGCTCCGGAGCGAGCGAACCCTTCGTGAACCAACGCTTAAGGTGCTGCCACCTATCTTGGTATCGAACGCCGTGGTGCGACATCTCGCGAGAGCATTCCCATAAAGCCGTTCCCAGAATTACACAAATCGCGTCCCACCGGCGCGTATTTTCGTCCTTTTATAACGTTTGGCCACGTACATGGAGAGGTTGCCAACACTCTACTCTTTCCCAGATATAAACATGGTGCAGTTGAACCATTCCAATAATGTATGCGCCAGTGCCCATTCGTCGTAAACCGAAACACAGAGCAATCTACATCTGTCGCCACTAAATAACCACGTACCCGAAACATGCGAGCTGGGCCAAATTGTGCAGGCATATGAAACATCCATGCCTGACTGAGGAGTCACTATTTTTAAGTGATAAACTAAAATTGTAGCCGACCCGCAAGACCACCCTTGTCTAGACCTGCCCCTCTCGTGCTCATGAACGTGATGAGACCTGCAGCTTTTGTGTCGCGGGAAGGACACGCAAGACCAGCCTTGTCGACACTCGCCCCTCTCGTGCTCATGAGCGTGATGAGACCTGCAGTCCTTGTATCGCGGGAACGACCCGCAAGACCAGCGCTGTCCAGACTCGCCCCTCTCGTACTCATGGACGTGACGTAAGCTGTTCTGTATTTGGCCGCAGCGCAGGAATCAATGTCTTCAATGGCGATGGGATTTGCGCCTCGTTAAGCACGGCTTGTTGTGCAGATGTTGATACCGCTGGTGGATATCTGACGTCAAAATCCACTGGTGGGGCCGACCGCTCGATGCAAGCAATGACCATCCAAGCAGCGCGAGCTGACAGACCCGCGGTGCCCGGGGACTCAGCGCCTTCTGAGGCTTACGGTCAGTGATGAAGGTGTCCGGACAGCAGAGAAAGATCTTTTCTGGACACCGCAGGTCGACTTCCGGTCCTTTATATTATACAGCACCCGCCTGGTTATGCAACGCGCGATGAAAGACGATTACCTATTTCAATGGACAGAAAAGAGATGTCTAAGACCACAGGATTCACAAAGCTGTTGGATGACACACACGAAACACGGTAAAACAAATTGATGGTGCATATTCGTGATGAACGCCATAGTTATTTCCAAATTATTGTTTGTGACATAGCGACCCTCCGTACGAGCCATAAGCAGCTACCTTCCAACTCGATCCAGCCAAGTACAAAACTGAAGCACCTGACACCAGACAAAACGCAACAACAATCACCTCCAAATGCCACGATAATCCTCCGGAAGAGCATAGAAAAACGCCTGCAGCCGACCTACCTTGCCAGCACAACCAGTTCAGCGACAATGAACCAAGCAAAGCTCTGACCGAGCACACGCACCCACGCATAGTGACGATGGAGGTGCCGACACCGCCGGACGCAGGGTCGGCGGTACTGTCGAGCAGGTCGAGCAGGGCGGCGGCCTGCCTCACGCCGCCGCCGCCTTTGTACTAGCCCACGGACAACTCCAGACCGCTGACTTGTCACGTGGCCTGCCCCCAACGTGCCGCTGGCGCCCACACGTGGAGCACGAGCCCAGCTAGCCACGGACCGATCAGGCAGCAGCCTGCGGCCCCGTGCCAGGCACAGTCACATCCGGCATCAATGCGCGCAACACGCGGCCACCGGCCTGTCCGCGGCCCCAGCACGCCACGAGAGATCGCTCCGGCGCCGCTGGCGGTCCAGGGTGCGGCGCCGTCCGCCAGCCTCAGGAGCGGCGCAGACCGCCCTGCATCAGCCGCTGGTAAGCCTCGAGACTGGCCTGCGCCTGTTCCGGCGACAGACCCGGCGGCCCACCCGGCAGCATCACCATCCGCTGCGCCAGCAGGCTCTGCAGCGCCACCTGCTGCTGCAGCCGCTGCAGCTGCTCCTTGCCGCCAGGCAGCAGACCCATGTATTGCAGCACGTGCGGCGGCATGGCGGCCGACGCCATGTGCAGCGCCAACAGCTGCTGCATTGAGCCGGGCGGAAGGCCGGCGCCGCCGTCTCCGTCCCCGCCGCCGGCGGTGGCCGCCTTCTCCACCGGCGTGATGGTGATGGAGCCGACGCGGCCAGGCTCCGACGGCGGCCGCGCCCCGCCGCCGCCGGTGGTCAGGTCGATGACCTCCAGAGCGGCGGCGGGCCGGCGGCGCGACGCCCCCTGGTGCGCCGGCGGCGGCTCCAGTCGCTGGCGCTTGCTCTCCGTCTGGCGCGCCATGCTGCTCAGCCTCTGCAGAGCCGTGTACTGGGCGAGCGGGGAGGTGGCGGCGGCGCGCGGCACCGGCGTGATGGTGATAGCCGGCCGCGCCTGCGCCAGCAGCGCCACGGTCGCCGCGTCAGGCGGCGCCGGCGGTGCCGGACGCTTGCGGGCGCCGGGCCGCGGCGCGGACGGCGCCGGCAGCGGCGACGGCTCGCTCTTCGGGCCGCCGGCGGTCGGCTCAGCGGGCGCCGCCGGCTCCGAGAAACCCCGCTCGTGCCGTTCGAACGGCAGGCACAGCCTGTCGACAGACATGCACCGATCAGATGGTCATACTTTACAGACCCACACAGACTATCTGAGAGAGTCACATACACTCACAGGGTTACAGTGCTTTTACCCACAAGACCCGGTTCCACAACCAGTTAGTATTTAATTCATAATCTGAGGCTCACCTTGAGCCCGGCCAGGTGGCGTTTTATGCCAGTGGTGGAAGATACAGTCCAATCACTCTACGATCAGATAAAATCCAATGTTGGTCTTGACATCAGGATCAAAGTCCTTACTGCGGGCGGGTAGATGTGCGGACCTGGTCTCGCCGTTCAAGTGTTCCGAACCACGAGATTATTGCTCCGCAGCCTATGGGCCAGGCAGTAGCGGCCAGCAGATACTGGCTGCCCACTTAACACCATAAACACCACCGCCCACGGCAGGACACACCCTGGGGATGCCTGACAACCGATGTCCGTTGACAAAACCGGCCGGTCGCTACGCACTAGCTCCCCGTGAGACTGCCAGTGACACCTGTAGGAGCTGGGAGTGAACCCTGTGATCGCCACTTACACCTCCAGTGAGTACGGGGCCCCGTCACTGCACACGCTGCGCACACTAACTTCTTGAGCGGGTGCTGCGAACGAGATTGCTGTGAATGACACGTGCTGTGAATGCTGTGGGCGAGTGAGCATATGGTGAGTACCGTGAGTGCCGGTCGCTGCAAGTGGGTGCCGGTCTCCGCGGGCGGGTGCCGGCGTGCCGTGTGAGCGCCAGAGCGCCCTGCTCACCTCTCGTAACACCTGCGGGTGGGTGCTGATCTCTGCGGGCGGGTGCTGACCGTGCCGTGTAAGCGCCAGAGCGCCCTGCTCACCTCTCGTAACACCTGAGGGTGGGTGCCGGTCTCCGCGGGCGGGTGCCGGCGTGCCGTGTGAGCGCCAGAGCGCCCTGCTCACCTCTCGTAACACCTGCGGGTGGGTGCTGATCTCTGCGGGCGGGTGCTGACCGTGCCGTGTGAGCGCCAGAGCGCCCTGCTCACCTCTCGTAACACCTGCGGGTGGGTGCTGATCTCTGCGGGCGGGTGCTGACCGTGCCGTGTGAGCGCCAGAGCCCACTGCTCACCTCTCGTAACACCTGCGGGTGGGTGCTGATCTCTGCGGGCGGGTGCTGACCGTGCCGTGTGAGCGCCAGAGCGCCCTGCTCACCTCTCGTAACACCTGAGGGTGGGTGCCGGTCTCCGCGGGCGGGTGCTGACCGTGCCGTGTGAGCGCCAGAGCGCCCTGCTCACCTCTCGTAACACCTGCGTGTGGGTGCTGATCTCTGCGGGCGGGTGCTGACCGTGCCGTGTGAGCGCCAGGGCGCCCTGCTCACCTCTCGTAACACCTGCGCGTGGGTGCCGGTCTCCGCGGGCGGGTGCCGGCTGTGCCGTGTGAGCGCCAGAGCGCCCTGCTCACCTCTCGTAACACCTGCGCGTGGGTGCCGGTCTCCGCGGGCGGGTGCCGGCCGTGCCGTGTGAGCGCCAGAGCCCCTGCTCACCTCTCGTAACACCTGCGCGTGGACGCGCCGGCGGTCGGCTTGCTCTGGTCGCCGCTCAACTCGTCAAACAGCTGGCGCCAGAGCCGGCGTGCGCATACCGCGTGGTACCCGCCCAGCTCCTGCACCCGCCGGTACAGCCGGTACAGCCGCTCTGCGGTACATGACATGCACTGTACAGATCTGTTGAAACAACACAATGTGGGGGGGGGGGGGGGGGAGGCGTGTACTCACCGTCACACTGCACGCGCTGCACAGAGCACTTACAACACGACACACGGCTGACAAATTCCCCCAGCAACCGAAATACCTGAGTCCTGCATGCCAACATCATGGAGAATGGTTTTCGAAAAAGAGCCTTCCCAGAAAATAATGATGATAAGATGATCAAAAGGGTATGCGGTTTCAAGCATGTACGAAAAGGCTGCTTTTCCGCTGCTTGCCTGCACCACAAAGGACTGTCAAAACTAAGAGGTTTATGCTTGTTTTTTCCTTGGTAATACAAGCGAACATGGTATGCCACCAGTCCACTTATGCCAAGGTGTGGCAACTCCCTGATACCAATCGACTTGTCAAATGACGGAGGAGAGTTTCGCAGCGTCATTCCCTGCAGCTGAACGACATAACCGCCACTGGAACAGCTCACTGAACGACATGACCGCCAGTGGTACAGCAAACTGAACGACATGGCCGCCGGTGGTACAGCTCACTGAACGACATGACCGCCAGTGGTACAGCGAACTGAACGACATGACCGCCAGTGGTACAGCGAACTGAACGACATGACCGCCGGTGGTACAGCTCACTGAACGACATGACCGCCAGTGGTACAGCGAACTGAACGACATGACCGCCAGTGGTACAGCGAACTGAACGACATGACCGCCGGTGGTACAGCTCACTGAACGACATGACCGCCAGTGGTACAGCGAACTGAACGACATGACCGCCGGTGGTACAGCTCACTGAACGACATGACCGCCGGTGGTACAGCTCACTGAACGACATGACCGCCATTAGTACAGCGAACTGAACGATATGACGGCCACTGGAACAGCTCATAACAACATGGCCGTCCGCAGCTGCATCGATATGCATGACCACCAATTCGTTGCTTGACATTGCTGTCAGCGACAGCATTTTGCATTCAATTCGAAATTGGCGTTTGTCGATTTGCGATGAAGCCAGCCACGAGGACCTGGATTAATGGAGATGCATGTGTGGAAAAGTTGTATGTAGGATATACGTATGACCGAGCGTGATGCACGATGTGCGCGTTACAAATAATATAAAAAAGATGTATGCATGGTACTCATGCATCTTGCAGCTATTGCGCCAATTTCTTTTCGTTTCATGGTGTTCGTCGGCGACTACCTGCACTGATAAGTGTTCATGTTTTTGAACACGTGAATTTTGGTGTTTGACCGCGGTTTTGCTGAATGAAGGAAAACTCTCAGACCCAAGGAAGGCTCAATGCCGAAAGCTCGTCTTCGAAGCCTTTAGATAAAGTTTGGCAGCACTGCGATTTATTATTACCTTGCTATGTCCGAGCAGGCAAAAACGTCTTAAAAATCCTATTTCCGAACCATTGGACAATTTCCACTCGTGACCCTACCTACTGTTGGAGACGTTCTGGGTTTCAGAATATACGCGTTTGCGGGCTTGCGTCGGTAAGCGACGGAGATGACTTTGAAAGCGCATAAAAAACCTGTGGCGTTGCAAAACTAATTTGATTTTGTACTGTTTCTGGATGCAATTAAAATTATGTGTAAGATTTCCTACGCATTATCTTCCTGGTCGATCCACCTCTAGCTGACGGGACACTTGACGGGAGCCGGGCGTGATGTGCTGGCACAAAGGGTGTATGGGGTCATGGAAAAAAACCTGTCCCTGTAAGTGGGTTTTTAAAGCCATAACAACATGTAATGCATGCGTGCGTGCGTGCAGCAACACCAGCTGAATCATCTACAACCTTAACGGAAGTCGGTTGCTGACCGCTCGCCCTTCGCCTCCCCCTCTTCCAACCCACCTTGCTTGCAGTCGAGCACCGTGGGCAGACTGAGCGGCGTGCCGCGCTGGCTCATGAACTGTCGCAGCCGCTGCAGGAACGTCTTCTCGTCCCAGCGCGCCGACCTGAGCGGCCTGCTCGGCTTGGAGGCCGGCGTCAGGCCCGGCACCACCGGCTTGTGCAGCAGGCCGGCACCCGGGGCGCGGCGGGCCTGCCGACCACCACTCGGTCACCACGGCAGCTACACTCCCGCCAGACAAGGGGAGGCCGGCGCCCGGCGCGATGAGACGCGGGTCGCGGAGATATGCGGCACGTGAAACATCTGTATACGCAGGTGGCAAGTGACAGACAGGCCTCCGGCTACAAAGACGGGTCGGGCGGATGAGGACAGACCGCGAGGCCGCGACTGGAGGCATGTGGCCTCAGTCACAGGTCTGGGATTGCCGGACGGGCCACAGATCGTAATGGGCCAGCCACATCACAAGATATGTGCGGTCCCCTCAGCGTCAGTCACCGCCGCTCCTCCAGGTCGGTCTGACATGTCAGTGACCTCGCAGCTGACGGTGCGGTGCGTGGCCTTTCACAGTCGATGCGCCCGAAAACCCCAATCATCCTAATGATCACAGCTGACTGGGGCGGCTGTCTGACACACAGCGCGAGCGGACTGGACACATCAGACGTCCGACCACCACGTCATCACAGCTGATGGAGGCGGCCGTCTGGAACACAGCGCGATCACAGACCGGACACATCAGACGTCCGACCACTCGCGCCGAACCGCACTGACCGTGCTGTGAAGCGAGCCCGGCAGAGGCACTTCTGTGTCTGACGTGGACTCGGAGCTTGGCGACGATCCGGGCCTCCTAGACTTTTTTCGGGTCCGGCCACGCAGTTTGGGCGCTGCAACCGGAGCAAGGCATGCCTCAGGACACCGTCCAACGCAGCACCAAGGGCTCCATGCAGCCTGAACCGTACACAATGTCGTTAGAACTGGTCTGACGCCGGTCTCCTCCAACGATACCCACCCCAGTCAAGGACACGCAGAGCATCCGACAGATATGTAGTATTCTTTGGCATGGGTTGCGTCTGTGCCGTCTTTGGCTAACACGGGAAACATGCCCCTGAGGATTTGAAGCTTACTTTGCGATGAGGACAGCTTTTCCTACCGTCCCCCTCAACCAGTTTGAAGCAACTTCATTCGGAGGCGAGCCCCTCCCCCTCCTGACTATCGCCAACGATGCCATTGACACAACATAAGACGGTGACGCCATCGCCCATGCATGAAATACTGACATCTGCATAAGCGCAGCCTTATGAGGCAACCTTGTCATGTATCAGTTCACCAGACTAGGCGAAGCGACTGATTCTAATTCACAATTTGAAGTCATAATAAGCGGCAAGTCACACGTAGCAACCAAGCTGTGCCGCTGATGCTGTGACGCTGTGGAGCTGTGGAGCTGTGGAGCTGTGGGGCTGTGGGGCTGTGCCGCTGACGCTGTAGAGCTGTGGGGCTGTGCCGCTGACGCTGTGACGCTGTGGAGCCATGAAGCCGTAGGGCTGTGCCGCTGACACTGTGGAGCTGTGGAACTGGGGAGCTGTCGGGCTGTGCCGCTGACGGTGTGGAGCTGTGGAGCTGTGAAGCTGTGGGGCTGTGCCGCTGACGCTGTGGGGCTGTGGAGCTGTGGAGCTGTCGGGCTATGCCGCTGACGCTGTGGCGCTGTGGCGCTGTGGGGCTATGCCGCTGACGCTGAGGAGCTGTGGAGCTGTGGAGCTGTCGGACTATGCCGCTGACGCTGTGGCGCTGTGGCGCTGTGGCGCTGTGCCGCTGACGCTGTGGAGCTGTGGAGCTGTGCCGCTGACGGTGTGACGCTGTGGAGCTGTGGAGCTGTGGAGCTGTGGAGCTGTCGGGCTGTGCCGCCGACAGTGTGACGCTGTGGAGCTGTGGAGCTGTGGGGCTGTGCCGCTGACGCTGTGACGCTGTGGAGCTGTGGAGCTGTGGAGCTGTGGAGCTGTGGGGCTGTGGAACGCTGGCCCTCTAAGTTCGATCTTCGACCGCCACCATGCACAACGCCCACGCTCTTCCGCGTGTCCGGTATCAAGCATATTACATCAAGCGTTCGTGAGTGTCCAGTCGCAAGCGACATAAAGACTTCTGCAACTTGATTTCCCTTCCAGGCCGACTTCTCGAGCACAAGTCAGCTGACGGCACCGTTGCCCGGCCCACGTGCACCTTACTACGAAAATGAAACCGTTCGAATTGTTAGTCTGAACTAAACAAATGGAGGCGCCGGAACAATGAGAAGCTTGCCGCCCACACCGGGCGCGGGAGAGTTCAGCACGCTCCAGGTCTGCACTGCAGCGACTGTAGCCCTCCATGGAAGTCGGGCGCGTGGTTCACACTTAGTGAGCACGCCCCCTAATTTCTGTTGTTGCGAGAAAGTGACCTGAAACATGCATCTCCGTTTTTTGACGAAACTTTGTCACCGTCGCCGGGTTCTACAGTCGATGTCCTCGCGGTCTGAGATGTTTTGAGCCGGGTGACGCTAGTTTCATTGACAGGTACAGCTGACTTCGTATCCTTTATAACTAGTGATGAACTTAAGCTGGCGGGCATGGATACGGCGTTCGTTGGTACCGTTTAAGGAGCAAAGGACGTTGCATGTACTGCATCACTGCACCAGCCCCAATCCCCAGCCGTGAAAGCTGAAATACGTTGGTCGACAAAGAGCGTGCTGGGCATGACGAAACTGTTCCTTTAAAGCACATCCATCGGTGCAACATTCCCTTGGTGATTTTTCCTTTAACCGCGTGTTTTTTCCTTCTTAAAACCACAATAACTTTTTAGTTTTGGTGTTAGCGCGGGCGTTTTGGGAGGACAAAAGCATCCAGCGGCGCCTCTATTATGACCATGTTTGAGATAGGAACGTTAAGGCATGACAGCGACTCAGAAATCGCCATGTTTCAGTTGTTCGCATATGGCTGGGGATGAAGGGAGTGAAAATTTCATTTATTCGATGAAAAGTAAAAAAAAATACCATAAAACTAGTGGGTGTGCCCAATTCCGTTAAGACTTTTCTGACCCCCCAAACTGCTACACGACTAGTCAGCAGCAGTGAACGAGCAATCGCAGTTTTCTGTTCGAGCCGGCCGGCAAAACAGCGCCCGTCTCTTCCTCCCCCAGCAGGCTGACCTACCCAGGTGGTTACAGAAGAGCTCCACACCGTCCAGATCGGGACAGTCGAAGAAGTCACGGCAGTAGAAGAGCCGGGTGTTGCCGCTGGGCACGTGGAAGCCGCCCAGCGCCCGCACCAGCTTGTGCACGTAGACACGGGCGCTGACCGCCTCCAGACTGTCGGCACGCGCTCAGCAGTCAGCACCCGGCGGCCAACACTCAGCGATCAGCACTCGGCGGCCGACGCTCAGCGGTCGGCAGTGTATCCATCAGATCTCAGCAGATAGCACGAACCTCAGCTGTCGGCACACGTCAGTCGGGCCTCAGCCAACCAGCGGTCGGCCGTCAACGCTCAGGGAGCCGGAAGTAGCCAGTCAGCAGTCAGCAGTATGCAGTCGATCACAGACAGTTATGCTGCTTCAACGCCAACCGCAAACACACCGAGCGAATCTTATGCCATGGCTCGGCATTAACACGGGCGGTACGAAGTGGACTAGGGCGCCGCAGCAGCGTCGCCATTTCCGTCACCTCCAGACGATGCCTGGCGTTTCTCAGCAACAAACCTAAACGCAACACAACAGAGCCGGTGCAGATGTACCATGGCATCATGCAATGCCTCCCAGGCGCATCTGTCAAACACCAGTCAGAAATCGGGAACTTGGTGCCGAGCGATAACAAAACACGCGCCACGTTATAAACAGCTGCCACGCCGGGAGTGGACCTAGTTGGCAACGTCTTCAGCCGCTTTCACAAGTAACTATCGAAGTCGCGCCAGGGCATGTCGTAGCCTCCGCTGCTGCATGTTGGTGCTCCGTCGCTGCAGTGCTAGCGAACAGCTCGGTGGCTCCAAGCAACACCCGCCAGACTGAGCGCCAAGGACAACGCAAATTATGACAATGGAGCATAGTCAGGCTCGATCAGTGTCGGCCCAGCCAGCTCCGCCGGCAGAAATTTCAGAGCCTGCTTCACTGCCTGTTCTTGTTGCACCAAGGTTCGCGCGTGAGCAGAGAACAGTGCCAGGACAGGCGATCACTGCAATCTGCAAGCCGAGCATTAATGGCGAACTGTGCACACGGACATCTCCGGGTGACACCTGGCTACACCACTAAGTCACAGAGTCAGTCACGAGTTGTATGCAAGTCGGGTGTAAGCCTCTGCAGAGCGAGCAACGCATTCCCAAGGGCCACCCAGCGCCTCCATGGCAAGCGGTCCACCATGACCGAGTGAGCCGGACAATGTATGCGTATTCCCAAGTGGGCCATGGACATGCGATGCAGATTTACGTCACTTCCCGGTCGCATCCTGTCCCAAGGAACCACTGGCATGTCCAACTGAAAGCCACGGGCTCTCAACATGCAATCAGCTGTCGGGCTTCGGTCATCTGAATGTGGATGTTAAAACATCACGCCTATTTCCCAAACCCAGCTTTCCTTACACGTACATGAAGTTCGTACAAGCAGGCCAGATCTCCCGGACAAATACGACGGTGCACGCAACGCAGCCGCGTTAATCAGCAGTCAACGCCTGCGTGACAGCAGACTGGTCTACGGCGGTCAGCATCTGATCCTCTGATCGGTCCCAAAATATACTTGCAAGCAGTAACCGGTCGTGCAGCAGTTGGTGTTAGGATAGTCGCCAGTAAGATCTTAAAGCATTAGATAACTACCACTCAGCCCAAGCGCATTTTTGCAGACGTTTTTGTTCGTTAAAAGATGAAGAGTAGGCACTTCAGATAAGGGACGTTTTCGCCACACCGTCCTCCCAGTCCCCATATCAGCGGTCGTCCCCGTAGCAACAGACTTTCCACACCCACCTCCAGTGACAACACAATACCGCAGGTGCAGCGCTGAGCACCCCCCCCCCCCCCATACATACACTGTGTCGCGCGGCGCACGAGCATCACCCACCGTTTGAGCAGAGCTCGGACACGGCAGTAGTGGTCGTAGCCGAGCACCAGGGCGCACCGCTCGTCCGGCTCGACGGTGTCTCCTGCAACGGGGGAGCCACAGACGGCTG